ATCATATAGTTTAATTCTCAAAACTCAATGAAAGAAGTATATCGCCATTTTATAGATTATAGCAATTTAGGCATAATGAAATTAAGTAATGTGCTTAAGCTCACACTACTAACAAGTGGTATTAAAATGCAGACCGTCTGATTCTAGAGTTCAGGCTCTTAATCACTACAGCCTTGTTGCTAGTCACAATCAACATGATTATGATGTTTTATTGTCATCTTTACAGTATCTATAATCACCTTCGGGACATGTATGCATGTTTGTGAAAAATTATCTAAATTAGGTTAATTGAGGTAGAAAGATCCACCTTAAATATGAGCAGCCCCATTCCCTGACTTGGAGTTCTGGACAGAACAAAGAAGAGAAAGCTAGCTGAATGTCAGCATTCATTGCTTTTTGTTTCCTGAATGTATATGCAATTTGACCACCTGCCTCCTCAAGATTTTGCCTCTATGATTTCCTCACCATAATGGACTGAGCCCTCACACTGTGAGTCAAAATAAACTATTCCTTAAATTGTTTTTGTCAGAACAATGAAAAAGTAATTAATACCATGATTAATCAACCACTGATTTTTTTCAATCTGTAAAATTTTACTCTGTAAAAGATCTCTACATATGTATCACTGTTTTTCAAAAACACTTTTTACAATGAACTGCATCGAAAATAGACAGCCCTCCCACCCCCGGCCCCTCCACTCACTGCCCATCCCTTGGCCAGTACCTACTCACAAAGCCAGCAGACTTCCCTTGCTCAGGTGCAGGCCACACCAGTCAGAAGAATAGACCACCATGGATTAAAGCTGGGTATCAGCAACAACAGAAACTACAGAAATCCTACAAACTCATGGAAATTGAACAACTCCATACTGATCAACTACTGTGTCAAGGTGGAAATCAAGAAAAAAAAATAAAGACTTACAACTACACAAAGATTCAACAAATAAAAAGAATTACAGACAAATTTCCCTCATGAACATTGATGCAAAAATATTCAATAAAATACTTGCAAACCACATTCAAGAACACATCAAAAAGATCATCTACCATGATCAAGTAGGCTTCATTGCAGAGATGCAGCCATGGTTCAACATACAAAAACCTGTCAATGTAATCCATCATATAAACAAACTGAAAGAAAAAAAAATCACATGATCATTTCATTAGATGCTGAAGAAGCCTTTGACTAAATCCAACATGGGTACATGATAAAAGTCTTGGATAGATCAGGGATACAAGCGACATATCTAAACATAACAAAGGTAATTTACAGCAAGCCTATAGGCAACACAAAATTAAATGGAGAGAAACTCAAAGCAATACCACTAAAATCAGGAACAAGACAAGGCTGTCCACTCTCTCCATGCCTATTTAATATAGTACTTGAAGTTCTAGCTAGAGCAATAAGATAACTAAAGGAGATCAAGGAACAAAAATTGGAAAAGAAGAAATCAAAGTATCATTATTTGCAGACGATATGATAGTTATTACATAACTGACCCCAAAATTTTTACCAGGGAACTACTACAACTGATAAACACCTTCAGCAAAGTGGCTGGATACAAGATTAACTAAAAAAAAATCAGTAGCACACCTATATACAAATGACAAATAGACTGGGAAAGAATTCAGAGAAATAACATCCTTCACAAGAGCCACAAATAATATAAAATATCTTGGGGTAACTCTAACTAAGCAAGTGAAAGACCTGTATGATTAAAACTTCAAGTCTTTGAAGAAGGAAACTGAAGAAGATATTAGAAGATGGAAAGATCTCCCATGCTCATGGATTGGTAGGATTAACATAGTAAAAACAGCCATCCGCCGGGCGGTGGTGGCGCACGCCTTTAATCCCAGCACTCGGGAGGCAGAGCCAGGCGGATCTCTGTGAGTTCGAGGCCAGCCTGGGCTACCAAGTGAGTTCCAGGACAGGCGCAAAGCTACGCAGAGAAACCCTGTCTCGAAAAACCAAAAAAAAAAAACAGCCATCCTACCAAAAGTAATCTACAGATTAAACACAATCCCCATCAAAATTCTAACACAATTCTTTACAGACCTTGAAAGAACAATACTCAACTTCACATGGAAAAAATAAAAAGACCTAGGATAGCTAAAACAATCCTATACAATAAAAGAACTTCTGAGAAGGTATTATTAACCCTGACTTTAAGTTGTACTACAGAGCTGTAGTATTGAAAACCGCATGGTACTGGCATGAAAACAGACACGTTGATCAATGGAATTGAATCAAAAACCCAGACATAAATACACACACCCATGGACACCTGATTTTTGATCAACAAGCCAGAAATATACAATGGAAAAAGGAAAGCATCTTCAACACATGGCACTGGTCCAACTGGATGGCTGCATATAGAAGAAAGCAAATAGATCTACACTTACCACCCTGCATAAAAATTAACTCCAAATGGATCAAAGACCTCAACATAAAACCAGATACACTGAACCTGATAGAACGGAAAAGTAGGGAATAGCCTTGAACACATTGGCACAGGAGACAACTTCCTGAGCAGAACAATAGTGCAGGCACTAAGATCAACAATTAATAAATGTGACCTCATGAAACTGAAGAGCTTCTATATAGCAAAGGACACCATCAATAGGACAAAATGGCAGCTCACAGAACAGGAAAAGATTTTCACCAACTCTACATCTGACAGAGGGCTGATATCCAAAATATATACAGAACTCAAGAAACTAGACATCAATAAACCAATTGGTCCAATTTAAAAAATGGATCTAAACAGAATTCTCAACAGAGGAAACCAAAATGGGCAAGAAACAAAGAAATGTTCAACATCCTTAGCCATCAGGGAAATGCAAATCAAAATGACTCTGAGATTCCATCTTACACCTGTGGCTAAGATCAAATACACAAGTGATAGCTCATGCTGGAGAGGATGTGGAGGAAGGGGAACGCTCTTCCACTGCTGGTGGGAGTGCAAACTTGTACAGCCACTTTGGAAATCAGTATGGCGGTTTCTCAGAAAATTGGGAATCGAGTCAATCTTCCTCAAGACCCACCTATACCACTCTTGGGCATATACCCAAGGAATGCTCAATCATACCACAAGGACACATGCTCAACTATGTTCATAGCAACTTTATTTATAATAGCCAGAACCTGGAAACAACCTAGATGTCCCTCAACCAAAGAATGGATAAAGAAAATGTGGCACATATACGCAAGGGAGTATTTATTACTCAGCTGTTAAAAACAATGACATCATGCCGGGCGGTGGTGGCGCACGCCTTTAATCCCAGCACTCGGGAGGCAGAGCCAGGCGGATCTCTGTGAGTTCGAGGCCAGCCTGGGCTACCAAGTGAGTTCCAGGACAGGCGCAAAGCTACACAGAGAAACCCTGTCTCGAAAAACCAAAAAAAAAAAAAAAACAATGACATCATGAAATTTGCAGGCAAATGGATGGAACTTGAAAAAATTATCCTGAGTGAGATAACCCAGACACTGATAGACAAATATGGTATGTACTCTCTTATAAGTAGATATTAGCTATAAAGTAAAAGATAATCATGTTAAGGTTCACAGAACCAGAAAGGCTAAGTAACAAGGAGAGCTTAAGGGTGGAATACAAGGATCTCCCTGGGAAGGGATAACAGAATAGACTTTGAGGGTGGACTGGGGGTGAGTGGGGTTGGGAACAGGAGAGATCAAGTCAGGGTGGGGGAGAAAATACTGGGAGAAATGACTGGAATTGAGGGGCATTTGAGGGGTAAGGAAAAAACCTAGTGCAATGGAAACTCCATGGAATTTAGGAAAATAACCCTAGCAAAGACTCCTAATAATGGGGGACATGGAGCCTGTATCTGTCATCTTCTATAACCAGACAAGGCCTCAAGTGGATGGATTGAGATACCAACCCAGCCACAAAACCTTCAATGTACAGTTTATCCTGCCTGTAGAGTGTTCTGGGACCAGAGTCTAGCAAAATCCTCATCAAAGAGACTACATCCAGCAACTGATGGGAGCAGATACAGAGTCCCACAGCCAAACATTAGGCAGAGCTCAGGGAGTCCTGAGGAGGAGAGGAAGAAAGGATAGGAGGAACCAGAGAAGATAGGGACACCATGAGAACACAGCCCATAGACTCAACTGACCAGGACTCATGGGGGCCCACAGAGATCAGGGAGCCTGTAGGGGTCTGACTAGATCCTCTACAATATATTACAGATGAGGAGCTTGGCATTCTTGTGGGATTCCTAACAGTGGGAGTGGGGGTTGTCTCTGACTCTTTTGCCTATTTGTGGGACCCTTTTCTTCCCACTGAGTCACTTCGTTCAGCCTTGATATGATGATATGTGTATGGTCTTATTGTAGCATAGTAAGCCATGTTTGGTTGATGGCCCTGGGAGGCCTGCTCTTTTCTGAGGGAAGACATGGGGGGCTGGACCTGGGGAGGTGGGGGAGGGAGACTGGGTGAGGGGAAGGAGGGATATAATATATGAGAGAAGAATGAAAAAAAATAAAATCTAAAGAAATATGTGAGAATAGAACAAGTAACTCACAGGGACACACTTCTCTCAGTTAAGGATTAACGGCACATTTCAACCTATACCTTTGGCTTGATAAAAGGAAAAGATCAAGCTAATACTATAAACACCAAAGGGAACTGCACAGTTTCAGGATTCACAATGAGTCACAATAAGCTGAAACTTACAGCAAAGGTACATAATGAATTATTTATCAATAAAAAAACTTTGCCTTAATCCAAAGTTTTAGGAAATTATTTATGTATACTGAATATATTTTCTAAACAAAAGCTTCATTAATGGCTGCTGAGAGGCTGTGGTTGTTTTATATGTCTCACCTCTACCCTTCTATCACAATATAATGACATAATAGATATGAGAAAGGGAACAGAGAAACAAACCACCTCAGCATAAAATTTAAATCATTTCCATATTATCTTAGACATCAGTGCAGTTGTTCTAACACCTTGGAAAAATATATTCTATACTTACTGAATCCACAAGGTTTTCTGTTTTATCTATCAGTAATTCCAATCTTTCTCCACGTTGAGCAACCAAATCTGGAAATAATTTTACAAAGAGAAATAATGTTTTATATTAGAAATAAAGGAATCCACTCACCAAACCTAAGGCCCTAAAACTCAAAAGTCTATGAAGTTACTATCTGGCTGCAGAAGAAAAGCAGCTGATCACAATTAAAGACAACTGGTAGTTGCAAAGAGACAACAGACTCTACAGTTTCAAAAACAGCTTATTTAAGAAAAACAGCTAACTTCCCTACTCTGCCCCTAGTAAATGCCTTCCCCATTACCCTATCATTATAAAAATCCCAGTTTTGAGAATGTGAGCTGTGTTCTCTTAAACTCTGGTCATTGAGTGATTGGGTCCTTTGCTCTGACCATGGTGAGGCCAGTACTCAAGATGGTACCTCTGTGGCATTAAACAAAGCCCATTCTAGATGTTTGAGGTCATCTAAATTCTCATCTTTTATTTCTTCCTATAAACTTAATTATTACATACTCTTACAATAAATATGCAATTTTGAGGTCAGCAAAACAACCCAGAAGGTAAGGGTGTTTGTCGCTAAGCCTGACAATGTGAGTTCAATATCCAGAACCCACATAAATGTAGTGGAGAATAGGCTCCACAGAGTTGTCCTCTGATCTTCACATCCACACCATGGCATGCACCAGGTACCACACATAAATAATTAACAAATGAAAATTTGAATATAGTAATAAATAAGTCAATAAATTTAAAACCCTGCATAAGAAAAATCAATGCCTAGATAGATTCAAAGATAAATTCTATATAAAATATTTCAGGAAAAATACACACCAATTTATTAAATGAAATCTAAATGGTCTTTTAATAAAAAACCCGGAGCCAGATATTGGGGTAAATGCTGAATGATCAGAGACAAAGGAACAAGCCACTGCCATGTCTCACCTCACCAACTCCATGAATCCTCTGACTGAATGCCTCTGAGTCCTCAGCTGAAAGGCTCTTCAAAGGCTGAAAAAAGCTTTCCTCAGCTGAGAAAGGCTTTAGTTCCTGTCTACTTACACCTTATATACTTTTCTCTGCCCAGCCATATTACTCCCTTCCTAGTGCTGGGATTAAAGGCATGTGATTCCCAAGCACTGGTAGCAGAGGCATGAGATCTCAAGTGCTGGGATTAAACACATGTAATTCACAAGTACTGGGATTAAAGGTGTGTGCTACCACTGCCTGGCTCTGTTTTCTCTCCTAGACTGAGTCAATCTCATGTAGTCTAGGGTGGCTTTGAACTCACAGAGATCCAGATCTCTGCCTCCTGAGTGCTAGGATTAAAGGTGTGTACCACTACTGCCTGGCCTCTATGTTTAATCTATTGGCTTGTTCTGTTCTCTGATCTTCAGGCAAATTTTATTAGAGTACATAATATATCACCACATTTCCCCTTTTTTTGTCTAAAATAATAAAAGGTTATAACTAATATAAGAAAAACTATATACAATAAGTACAATAACTATATATAATATATACAGTCAAGAATTACATTAACAATGTCCAGTCCATTAACATTTGACAGATTCAGAGAAAATACTCCATTATTTATCATATTTTGGTGAGTCCAAAGTGTTGCACCTAATTCACTTTCTATCCTAACTTGTATTACCAACCCCAAACTATCTTTTGATGTTTTTTGAACTTATACACTTTATACCTCTTTAGTGAGTTTCTTTTCTGAATTTGTTAACAAGGAAAACTATACCTATAACTATCTATTCTTCAATTCCATCGGAGACCCAAGAAGGAAATAACATTTACTGAGAAAGCAGGAGGTGCAAATAAGCAACTTCCAAAAAATGTGAGAAATGACATAAACAGCTGGCTGCCTGAACAGTCACCCAAGGTTCCTCTGCAATGTTAGGGCATCTATCTTCGGCCTACAGGCCTAGCATATCTGACAGAATTATCCGTGAAGCAGGATTTTCTAAAGAACCTTCCTACCATGTCTTAGTAAAGTTTGGTGGTCCTTTCTTTTGTTTCCTGCTTGTCCCATTTGGACAGCATGTCAGCAGTCAAGGCAAGGGCATTTTCTTGCCCAGTGGCTAACTTTTGCCACAAAGAAAGTAAACTCCATATGGAGTTTCTTCGATGTCCATCATCTTCTCTGAAGTAGACTGGTGCTGCCAGGAGCAGACATGTCTCATTGTCATAAAAAAGGAATCTATTTTATTGAAATATCTTAAATGCCACATTCTGTGTATCTTTGAAGTGTTCAAAGACAACCTATTTATCTAAAATATATGTCTGACCTTGAAAACATACCTAACCTGACAAGTTCCATTGCAATAGGTGACTAACAATTAACCTGCATTTCTTTTATCCTAAATAGTTGGTAATAATAACTTTCAAGAACTAGAAAATTGCATTACATTGTTAAGTGAGTTGTATAGGTACGATACGTTGAATGAGATTAAAATGTACGTACAGTATGTTCTAACAAAAATAATCTTTGTATACAATATACAAAAATCCAATCCAATGTAAAATACTTAAAACTAGTAGTTGCTTTCTAAAAGTAGATTCAATAATCTACCTTTTTATCTTATCATATCTATATCTCTTTTTTTCTGAGTAGATTCAATAATCTACCCTTTTATCCAAACATTTCTATATAATACATTTCTATATCATATCCCCTTTCTTTTTTTAAAAAGAGATTGACTATAGACCAATAACAATTTTTAACAAACCCCTAAACAAAGACAAAATCCATAATCCATTCTTCGGGAATGTGGGCATAGTTTTCTAGGCTACATCCTGCTGATTGGGGGTGCTGGTAATCTTATGGGGACAAAAAGAAAATTTTGGATTATGGTCAAGTCCTGACTGGAGTAGTCTGTGAGGCTGTATCATCTAAGCTAGCAATCTTGATATTGTCTTGAGCAGTTTGTAGTCCAAAGCCAATCTTTGGGTGGTGTTTGTCAGCTTGGTGGCATTATCACAGTCCATATATCTGATCAAATGAAAAGTATTTGTTAGTCATATAAGTTAATTTAAATTGAATGATTACACTGGTTGATGAAGTATCACCTCTTTTAATTAAGAGGTCTCTCTTGTTCAAATTGAACCTTTATCAATTTTGATGGTATTCACAGCTTTTCTTCTCCAGTGGAAACAAAAGCAAAACCTCGTCCCCAACACATATCCTGGTTTCCATTCTGAGGTTAGCACATCTTTAAAGTATACAGGCTGATTTAATGTTGTGATATATTGTGTACCCTAATAAAATTTGCCTGAAGATCAGAGAACAGAACAAGCCAATAGATTAAATATAGAGGCCAGGCAGTGGTGGCACTCATGCCTTTAATCCTAGCACTTGGGAGGCAGAGATCCATCTGGATCTTTGTGAGTTCAAAGCCACCCTGGACTACATGATATTGACTCAGTCTAGGAGAGAAACAGAGTCAGGCAGTGGTGGCACACACCTTTAATCCCAGTACTTGGGAATCACACGCCTTTAATCCCAGCACTAGGAAGGAAGTAATATGGCTAGGCAGAGAAAGGTATATAAGGCATGAGGAGACAGCAACTAAAGCCTTTTCAGCTGAAACACTTTTTAGCTGGAGGCCCTTTTGGGCTGAGGACTCAGAGGCATTCAGTCAGAGGATTCGTGGAGTTGGTGAGATGAGACGTGGCAGTGGCTTGTTCCTTTGTCTCTCTGATCTTTCAGCATTTACCCCAATATCTGGCTCCGGGTTTTTTATTAAAAGACCATTTAGATTTTGTGTAGCACCAATTTATCATGAATTTGTTTAAAAAATCAAAAGAAAGGAGTATTTCTCAATTTATTATATGGGTCCATTATTATCTTGGTATTAAAGTCAAACAAGTATATCACAAGAGGATCTGGGGATGCAGCTCACTTGGCAGAACTCTTTGCTAGCACACATAAACCCTGGAATTAATCATTAGCACTGCATAAACTGGTACATACCTATAATCTCAATACTTTGGAGGTTAAATCAGGGTGTGATGGTTAGTTTTAATTGACAATTTGACACAACTCAGAATCACTTGGGAAGACAGTATCAACAAAATGTAGTCTAGATCAGGCCAGGCGGTGGTGGCACATACATGCCTTTGATTCCAGCACTTGGGAGGTAGAAGTGGCCTCTGTGAGTTTGAGGCCAGCCTGCTCTACATAGCAAGTTCCAGAACAGTGAAGGCTATACAGAGAAACCCTGTCTCAAAAAACAAACAAACAAATTAAAAAAAGAAATATTGTCTAGATCAGATTCATCTGTAGGCATATCTGTGGGGATTTGTCTTGTTTGCCTTAATTGATATAAGAAGACTCAGCCAAAATGTGAGTAGCATTATTCCCTAGTTTTTGGCCCTGAGACATTTAAGAGTAGAGAAAGAGCATTAAGCAGGCATGCATTTATTTTTCTGTATTCTTGACTGTAGATGTCTTGTAATTGGCTGCTTCAAGCCTTTGTTACTTCCCTGCTATGATGGACTTGTGAGCTAAAATAAACCTTTTCTTCTCTAAGTTGCTTATCTCAGGATATTTTATCAAAATGACAGAAAGAAAATTAGAATACAGGAAAACCAGAAGTTCAAGATCGTCCTCAGCTATATAGTAAGTTTAAGAACAGTCTTACATGAGATTGTCTCACAAAAAGGACACCATAAATTGAGAAAACGAATAGGCTAACAACCTCCGACACAGACACACAGACACACAGACACACAGACACACACACACACACACACACACACACACACACACACACACAGTGGGAGAGGCCACCCCTGGGCTGGTGGTCCTAGTTCTATAAGAAGGCATGTTGAGCAAGCCATAAGCAGCATCCCCCCATAGCCTCTGTATCAGCTCCCATCTCCAGGTTTCAGCCCTGCTTGAGGTCATGTCCCGACTTCCTTCAGTGATGGACTATGATGTAGAAGTGTAAGCCAAATATACCTTTTCCTTCCCAAGTTTCTTTTTGTCATGGTGTTTCATCACAGCAATAGTAATCATAATCAAGATACTGCCTGATGCACAGGCCAGGAAAGCAAGCTAATTGCAGATCTTCAATGTTCCCTCCTTTCTTCCAAATCCAATCCCCTAGTCTCACCCCAGCTCTGTAACAGACCACTTGCTGCGGCCTCCCCTCCCTTTTAGCCACCATTTCCAGAGGATCATATAGCTCTCCTCCAACCTTTCTCCACACTCATATCTTTGTCTCAGACCCCAACTCCAGCAGGCATTCCCTGGGAGCCTACCAGCAAAATCATCTAGAGAACCAAGTAGGCCAATGAAGAAGGTAAATGAACTTCAGATCTTTACTTCCCCTCCTTTCCTCCAAAATCAATACCCAAGTCTCATCCCCAGATCTATAGCAGACTACATGCTGTGGCCTCTCCTGATTCTCTGCTTCCATTCCTAGGGCACTAAACAGATCATGGTTGAAACACCCTCCTTTCTTCCCTACTGTGGAGCCCCTCAGCCTCTCTCTTATAGCTCATTCCCATTTCTAAGTATCAGCTCCCAATACCTAGAAATGCACTGAACCAGGAACCTCCAGGGGCCATACTTAATAGGATCCCAGAAGCATTCACTACCAAGCAATACAAAGTCACCACACCCTCCTAAGAAGCAGAGGGCAACAGAAACCAAACACCCACCCAACAAAGGCAAGACCATATATCAGCATCTAGATCAGTGGTTCTCAACCCCCACAAGAGTTACATATCAGATATTCTGCACATTGGATATTTACATTATGGTTCATAACAGTAGCAAAATTACATTTATGAAGTAGCAATGAAAATAATTTTATGGTTGGGGGTCACAACATGAGGAACTGTATTAAAGGGCCACAGAATTAGGAAGGTTGAGAACCCCTGAACCAGATGGTGAAAACAAGGAAGTGCTGTTTCAGCTTCCCTACAATAATCTGACTCCAATCTAGTAATTCATTATTATTTGTGGTCATATGAATGAAACTATGCCACTGAAACATACCTATGTTTCTGACCATGATTCCTTTCAGTTCATCCACTTGTGCTTGAGTCTCCATCACTCTGTCTTGCCCTTTATTTTCAGAGTGATGCTTCTACAAGATATTAAGTTTTAACATACAATATTTAGACATTATTTAAATAAGAAATAAAGAATAACAACCTATATTGAGGAATGCTATATAATTATGGATCTATTATATAAAAGATACATATATCTGAAAAAATAGTATTACATTTAGAAAAAATACTGGCAGTATAAAAATTGCTTTCATATGGAATGTACTTTAGCATAAAATATCTTATTTTAAGTAAAATTCAGTGAATATATTATAATATGAAATATATGAGACTCTTTGGGCAGAAATGAGGGGATACGTAATCTGTGCTTATATAGAAGGAAGGAAAAATTACTATAGTTGGGATGGGGAGAGGCAGGTACCCTTAATTTTCCTCACTTCTTGGATATGATGAAATAGGGGCATGCTCACTTCTTTTAATATCTGCCCTTCTATCTGCTGGGATCACAACATGTCTCTTATTTTCATTGCCTTCTCTCAAGATCTAGAATCTAAAAGACTAATGATAGTATATATTTTGAAGAGCCAGGCATGGTGACACACCTTTAATGCCAGCACTTGAGATCTTATGTCTTTGCTTGGGAAGGACACACACCTCTAATCCCAGCACCTGAGATCTCATGTCTTGCTTGGGAAAGACACATGCCTTTAATCCCAGGAAGTGATGGCAGGAAGCAGAAAGGTATATAAGGCTAGAAGCCAGGAACTAGAAGCTCTTAAGCTTTTATCAGCAGTTCAGCTGAGATCTATTCGGGTGAGGACTCAAAAGCTTTCAGTCTGAGGATTCATGGAAACAAGATCGGATGAGAAATTGTCGAGGTGAGGTTGGCTGTGGCTTGTTCTGCTTCTCTGATCTCTCAGGTTTTAACCCCAATATCTGGCTCTGGGTTTTTTGTTTGTTTGTTTGTTTTTTATTAATAAGACCGTTTAGCAATTAATCTACAAAAACTGATTAAAAATGTATAGTTTTCCATATTCACAAATAATAGTTAGAGGTTATGTATTTTTGCCCAAATACTTTTACAGATAAAAAGAAAGCATTTTGAAAGATGCTCACCATCATTCATATCATGAAAATGCAGATTAAAAACACAATGAGCTACCAGTGCATACCCTCCAGAATAGCTAGAATGAACGAGACAATAAATGTTGACAAGGATGAAAAACACTGGAATTGCCAATGAGAATTTAAAATAGTACAATCACTTTGGAAAAATAGTATGTGATAAATTTTTAAATTACATATCACCATCTGACCCTGAAATTCCATTCCTAGGTATTTATTTACCAGAGAAATAAAACATATGCCCACACAAAAACTCGTATGTGGAGATTCACAGCAGCTTCACTCATAACAGTTAAAAACTAACAACAACCCAAATATCTAGCAACAGGTAAATGAGTAAAACAGTATGTATACAGTATTGTTTAGCAGAAAACAGAAATATGCTGCTGACTTACTCAACATGGATGAGTACTAGAAGCATTCTAATGAGCAAAACAAACAAGACACATCAGAGTACTTACTTTATGATTGCTATTTATAGAAAACTCTAGGGAAAAAAACTAATCTATAGAGATAAAATATAATCAATAATTTGCTGGGACAGGGTATTGGGCAGGTGGCATGGGGGAAAGTTTAGGGTTAATAGAAAGTTTTTTTTTTGGTTTTTTTTTAGAGACAGGGTTTCTCCGTGTAGCTTTGCGCCTCTCCTGGAACTCACTTGGTAGCCCAGGCTGGCCTCGAACTCACAGAGATCCACCTGGCTCTGCCTCCCGAGTGCTGGGATTAAAGGCGTGCGCCACCACCGCCCGGCAGAAAGTTTTTTTTTTATTTTGACTATGGTGGCATTTCAGAGTTACACAAACACACACACCATCAATTCAGTTGACAATGAGGAAGTTATGCAGATGAACAGATTTTCACATGACTAATTTGAGCTATTCAAAACTCAAACTTACATCATGGATAAAGAAAGGGTTTATATATAAGTTAAAATGTCAGTTGACAAGTTTAGTGGATTTAAGCATTAAATGGGTAGTCAAACTAGTCTATCATTAACACTCTTCCAAATCCTGAGATATGCTGACGATTAGTAATAGAGGATATCACCAATTAGCTTTCTACACGAAAATGACTCCTTTATATTTTTAATAGGGAAGCTTTATTATGTTGGCTTATAGCGACACAATCAGAAAAGTGTTCTATAGGTCAGGGCCCCTATATTCATCGTGTTTGAAGGTAATAAAGAAGAAAATATAAATCAAAACACTATGTCCTGAGAAAAATATTACCAGTTGTGCAGCCAAAACACTTGAGAACTCGCTATTCATGGCATACGGAAGAGCAGTCTGTGCTCTTGAACCATAAGTAGTCTGGAACCTCTTCTTTACTTCATTCAGAAAACTGAAGGCTCGAGAACGCTCAAAATCCTGTAAAGTGACCAATGTACACATATAAACAAAGATATGTGGCATATTAGTAATAATAATACTATTTCCTGACTCCATGAGGAATAATCAGAACTGATCCTGTTTCATAGATAAAGAACAAAAGTTTCAAAAGACAACTAACTTGCCATATGTCAAACAGCTAATAAATTAAAAAGCTGAGCGTGAGATCCAAACTAAAAACAATGGTATGTAGATTATTATCTCAGGGGTCAGGAATTGATTTTCAGTTCTTTCAGTTCTTTCACATGATCACAAGGTCAAGCATAAGAAAATGCTCAATAAATCAATAAAAAGCAGTATAGTTTTAGGAGCTAGAGAGATGGCTCAGCAGTTAAGAGAGCTTGTTCCTCTTTGAGAGAACTCAAGTTTGGTTCTCAGCACTCAGGTTGGGCAGCTTACAACTGCCTATAACTGCAGCTCCAAGGAATTTGACTTGCTCTCTGACCTCTGTGGACATTCCCAGACACAGATACATACATATACATAAACCAAATAAAAGATTTTTAAAAAGAGTACAGTTTTTAATATATAAAGATAATGCTATTAATATGGATTTTGAACTAATACTTTCCAATAGCAGTGATACATCTGAAAAGGTCAAGTGATGTACCTTGTCTACTCCAAGTCAGCCAAAAAGTTGTGTATATGTGTGTGTGCACACATACAACAAATCACAGCTTAAGAATTTTGCTGCTCAATTTGGATCATTTGAGATTCTATGACAGTTCTCATCTATTTTGAGCATTTTACATCAGTCCTTTCATATACAGCTGGACTTTATTGTGAAACCAGAGGTAAAAATCATTGTGATGATCAATGTAATTGAACATCATTTCAACTTAGTTTAAATCAAGGATTCCTTGATATGTGGGGGTGTTTTTTGCCTATGCACCATGTGTGTGCAGTGCCTCAGAGTCCACAAGATGGCGCCAGATCTCCTGAGCCTGGAGTTATAGATGTTTGTGAGCTGCCATGTGGGTGCTGGAGATCAAACTTGGGTCCTCTGGAAGAGTAGCCAGCGCTTTTAACCACTGAGCCATCACTCCACCACTAGAGCAAGTATTCTTGAACTGGGATCAATGGTAAGAATTCTAGTAGGTACTTGTATTAGGATACAAAGAAATATTACTGAAGTGGTATTTGCTCCACTGATGACCTTGGATTATACAGCCTGAAGGAGGCAGTGCTTCTTGCCATTGTATGTGACCTCTTAAAAGGAGAGGAGAGAGGTGGTTTGGTGGTTAAGAGCACTGACGGATGTTCCAGAGGAACCAGGTTCAATTCCCAGGTCTTCCGGATCACGCCAGGATTGATTAAACAAACAAACAAACAAGCAAATAAATAAATGGAAGAAGGGACCACATGACCCCTCTCTCCTCTCCTTTTAAGAAGTCATGTAAAATGGCAAGAAGCATTGGCCTGAACAGCCCAAGGTCATGGGCAGAGCAAATACCACTACATAGTACACTGTTATTTTCATAATTCTTTAGGTTAAATTTGAATTTTGAATGGAAGTAACAAAACAAAGGAGTATTAAACAGTACCTGTAGCTTAGTCATCTCCAGAAGTATTTATTAATATGATATCATAGTTACAGGTATTTTGAAATAGACTACATGCATCAACATTTCAAAAGTATTATTAGGGTGATGACCAGGTGTTGTCAATGAAGTCATAAAGAAGTATATTCATTAATGTATCATAAAATATATTGAGTGTTATACATAAGTAAAATTGATTTTGTTTAGACTCCTGTGTGTTCTAGTTCATACAGTTAACAACATTCTCAGTGTAACCACAGTGACAAAGGAGTCTGTGACAAGAAAGTTTAACAACATTGATTTGTAGAAATCATGTTAATTCCGCCAGGCGGTGGTGGTGCATGCCTTTAATCCCAGCACTCGGGAGGCAGAGGCAGGCGGATCTCTGTGAGTTCGAGGCCAGCCTGGTCTACAAAGTGAGTTCCAGGAAAGGCGCAAAACTACACAGAGAAACCCTGTCTTGGAAAAAAAAAGAAATCATGTTAATTCCATGACTGTCAGAGAACAGCTTAGAAATAAGCACATGGCCAGTATGACATGAAAATAAGTTAACTTCAAAAGAAAGAAAGAGGCATATTTTCCTCCTTCCTACAATAAGAGATCAAAGTACACAGTCTCTCTTCTTTGTACATAAATAAATAGCCATGTAGATACATGCAACCATAAGGGGAACTTATAAGAAACTAACGAGTAAAGAAAAGGAGAGAATGTTCCTTGATGACATTATTACTGATCATTCTGGGCTTATAGCCAACATACACAGAAAACAACCTAACCAATGTAAACTACACATTTACATAGTTGATCATAATGTACTATGATACTGTTTTTCTAAAGAACAGATACATAAAAATTTATTAAATATTTAAATAATTAATTCAATATTCAACATTTTGAGAAGCTTTAATAGCAATCATAATCATTAGATAGAGAGAGGCCAAATTGGCTATCTCCAATTTAGGGAACCACACAGAAAGAGGGGGAAGAAGAATTGTAGGAGTCAGAGGGGTTGAGGATACCAGGAGAACATGGCCCACAGACATTAACCAAGTAGGGCTCATTGGGGCTCACAGAGACTGAAGAGGCAATCACAGAGTCTGCATGGGTTCATACTAGGTCTTCTGCATATATGTTATGGTTGTTAGCTTGGTGTTTTTGTGGGAATCCTAACAGTGGAAGTGGGAGTGTTGCTGACTCTTTCATCTGTTCTTGGTACCCTTTTCCTTCTATCGGGTTGCCTTACCCAGCCTTGATATGAGGGTTTGTGCCTAGTATTATTGTATCTTGTTATGCCATGTTCAGTGGATAGCCCTGGGAGGCCTGCTCTATTCTGAAGGGAAATGGAGCAGGAGTGGATATGTAGGAGAGAGGAGGTGGGGCAGGGCTAGGAGGAGTAGAGGGTAGGGAGGAATGGAGGGAGGGGAAAGTACAGTCAGAGTGTATTCAAAACAAAAAATAAATTTAAAAAAATTCAAAAAGTTATTTAAAAACAAAAAACAAAAACAACAATCATAATCATTAATATCAATTTCAATATACTTACTGTATGGTGATAAATGTTCAGAGAGATTAAGCAGAAACTATCAAAACTGAACAGAGTTATACATTTTCAAGTATCAAAATTTGTCATAAGATGCTCTTTACAACAAATGCAAAGTGCAAAAAAAATTTCCAGCTACAAATTTTTTATCACTTTTACCCACTATAGGTATAGATAATTAATAATTGACTGTATTAGTATACATAGTGAAATAGCAATATATCTTCAAGTTACTTACATCATCTGTGATACAAAGATACACAATCCTGTCTTGACAGATGTAATGAAACAAATAACTGTAGAATAAAAGATATAAAATGTATTGTGGTTTTAAGCATCATCTATTTCACTTCTAAGTTCTACCTATATATAAGCCAGTTCAGTATGTCCAATTTCACTATACTGATTACAAATACAATTCATTCTCATCCTCCCCTACCCTATACATTTCTATCTCTAGTTAAACTGACAGGAATGAATAAAACATGAGAAGAAGTTCTCCTTCTTAAATATAGTAACATGTACATTAACCATTAAAATGTTACATACAAAAACATAATTGGATTCTTAGGGCCTAAAGAAGAGATGGTGCCTTAGAAGGGACACACAATTAAAATTTATCCCCAGTGGGCCACAGGGTTTTTGTTTTTGTTTAGCTTTTTCCTGTATGGCAAATACCTTTGCTACCAAATTCTCAACAATAACATTTGAGCATCTGCTTTGAACTAGTTAATGTGCAAGATAATAAGGATATAGAATGTAAAACTATTAGCCCCACTTTTTTAGGGATTGTAGTGTAAGGAATAACAATGCGGCATAGCAAACAAGATAATAACGAAGTTGAGGGTAGTATAGAGTAAGCAGGTAATGGATATGTATCAAAGTGTGAAAGTGATATATGGTCTGAATTCTAAAGAATAAGTAATAGAGAGGAATGCAAAGAATAAGCAAAGAATATACAAAAGTGCAGAATTAGGCAGTGTAAGAATGTGGAGATAAAAAGAACACATAATAGATATAGGAAAGTAAAATCTGTTCACATGCCAAAAGTATACAACATGCAGGGAAAAAGAGTGATTGCCTGCACATACTCCAATAAAAGGTGAGAATTATTACAAATGTTATGAAGAAACAAAGAAATTAGAAGAGTAATAAGTTGTTAAGTGTGGGTGGAAAACAAAAATGAGGACTAAAGGAGTGGAAGATGAGGCAACTGAAGAAAAAACGGAGATAGAGAAGGAATGGGCTGATAAACTTGTAGAAGAAAGGTAAATATTTGGTGAAGAAGTGAAATATGATTCTGAAGTTTTAGGCTTAGCTAGCTGAATGTCTAGTGAAAGTACTCAATTTATATGATGTGCATATTCTTATTTTGGTACACAGAAGTAAAAGTTATCTTATTGAGATGACAAATATTATATGACTGAAACTAGGGCAGAAGTTTAAAAAGAAAAAAACTCAGTGATTAAACTTCACCTAACAAACATGGGAAGAGCAGGTGAAGACTTGGGTAGAGAGCACATTATGTATAAAATATTTCCTTCTACTAAAACTTACATTTTACTTATATTTCCTAGCCTTCCTTGTAGCTAGATGTAGGTATGTTACTAAATTCTGGTTCTTATAATATAGTGGAAGATATAGTCCCTTCCTCCAACTAAAAGAATTCCATATTTTTTCCAGCAGTGATAGCAAAGCTACCCCACTAGCTCTGAACCACTCATCGCTGGACTATTTCATATATGTCAATTTTGTATCATAGTGTCTTCTCACAGTAGCTTTAACTAACTTGTAAAGGGGCTTAACCCTAGAAAATAATAAGAATTTCCTGACATAAAAATTAAAAAAGTAAAGATTAAGTAATAAAATATTTTAAGCATCAATGAGGAAAGCTTAGGTACTTTTTAACATGATTACTAGGATTTCCCATCTATGTCCTCTTTAATATGCCACCATAGTGATCTTTATAGAGCAAAAGCTGACATACCTTAAAATCCTTTAGTGCCTTTCTACTGCCTACAGGAAAGTCTAAACTCTTAATATGCCCTATGAAGCCATGCATGACTTTCTCCTACCCAGTTTTATCATCATCATGCTGGGTACTAGCCACAAAGAATGACTAACAATGTCATAAATATGACTGCATAACTCTGTTCCTTCTAACTTAGAATGCCACTATTTTGTAGTCTCTACTATACCTATCTACAGATTTCATCATCAAACCATTAATCTTTACGAAGGCAAATACCACATTTCTTGTCATATCACTTTCAACATGTAAAGTGCCTATCATTAGCTAAGTACTATGTTAATATTTACTAAAAGAATGAAAAAAGAATACTGTTTATATTATCTGTATCATTCCACATATCTTAGAACTCTATAGTAAAGCCATTTTATATGTAACATCTCCATATCTTTCTTTAATATATCATTTCAATGATAGGATAAAATAATCATAAGTTAAATTAATAAGTAACAAAACCAGACTTTACTGTTTTGAGATAGGGTTTCATTCTGTGGTTTAGAGCCTTGAACTCACAGTGGGATCTAGTAATGGGATTATAGGCATGAGCTATAGCCACATTGCCTAGCTGAGCACCAGAAATTTTCTAAGCTGATCAAATTACTGTTTAGTCAAATTAATCTACCTAAAAGCTTACTTTCTACTGTTTTTATTACAATAAAATTCTTTCCTTCCCTCTACCACATGCAGATCAGAACTCACTTGCCATGTGAGTAAGTTAGTTTATTATTTTCAGAGGGTATCTTAGCCAGAATCTGCTCTGTCACCTCCAGGAAGTTTCCTCCACACCAAGCATGTTTGGCAAGGATAGTAGTTCCCCTGGCAACAACAGCAAAAAGAATGGCCATGACTTCAATCTATTAAAAGTAAAAAAAGGACACAGATTTAGAATATTACTTAGGCATGAGCTTTCAAAAGTAAACAATATTTATCTACATCCATCTAGAGATAGTACTGAACAAGCCACTACAGTATAAAAATCAATGAAGACTTAATAGGAACTGAGTACACAGCTCAGTGATATAAAGTATGCTTAGTATGCCTGTAACCCTAGGCTTGATCCTCAGCAATAAGGAAAAAAAGAGAGAACCTCAAGATTTTCTACAAGCTTATGACTTAAACTGCTTATAGTTACATATCAGTGTACACACAGGATGTATTTATAAATTGTATAGCAGAAACTGATACTCTTTTGAAAAACAATGGTCATAGATAGCAAAGTAACATAAAGATGCCATCTCAGTTTAATGAAATAATCTCATTCTGAAAATTTATCTTAGAGAAATAGTTTAGCAGAAACTAGATGCTAGATTCATGATAACAGTAACAACAACCCATATTTATTAAGTTTTCACCTTGTAACAGACATCAGTTTAAGTACTTTATAATTAACTCATTTAATCTCCACAACTCAATGGGATTATATCCAGTTACAGTGCTATCATAGATAAGGAAACTGAGGCACTGACCCCATAACCATTTTTCTCAAGATTACAAAGCTACAGTGATAGGGTGATTTAAACCCAGACAGTGTGATTCTAGAACACACATGACTATATAGAACCAGTAATATTTATATCATATAATTTATGCCTCTAAGATAATTACCTCTAATATAAAAGCATCATCCATAAAAGAAACCAAATTAAATTAACACAAAGCTTCCATAAAAGAAGAATGATTTTATAATTTATGGTAGGACCTTCATAAATAAAATATTACCAAAACAATAGGGTATGAGTTAAAAATTACTTTCCTAAAAAAATTACTTTGCTGACATTTGGATATGAATATGCTTATTTTTCCCTCAAACAGGGCAGATTCCTCTGTTTCGTGGTTTAAGATATAGAAATTAGCCGGGCGGTGGTGGCTCACGCCTTTAATCCCAGCACTCGGGAGGCAGAGGCAGGTGGATCTCTGTGAGTTCCAGGCCAGCCTTGTCTACAGAGCTAGTCCAGGACAGGCTCCAAAGTTACAGAGAAACCCTGTCTCGAAAAACCAAAAAAAAAAAAAAATATATATATATATATATAGAAATTAACAAATTAACTCTTCAAAGTAATCTAATTTAACATGTGTATTTTCACCAAGTAAATCAGTGGTTCTCAAAGTATAATGAGACTATAAATCACGTTGGGTAGCAAAATGAGTCACTTGACATAATCTCTTAAAATCTGATTTTTAAGCCAGAGGTCAGATTCTGAAAACTGTAGTTAAATAACCTGGCCTGGATGAGCCTAGAAGAAAATAATTCACATAACCATACTTCACTATACAAGTAGAAAACTATGAAGTGCCTGGGGTCAGGGAATCTGCTGAGCGCTGAATGGAATCTCAGCATTGAAGGACAGTACATAGAACAAAAGGCATTCATCTGAACTTCTAGTAGGATCTCGTCTTCATTCCTACTGCCTGAATAAATTTGTTCCCTAGAGTTATGTCTTCAGCAGTCTTCTTTCCAGAGTCCTTTGTACAAATATGTAGGAAGTTACACTTTCCAAACCAGTGTCTCATACTTTTTATCTCCCTTGATCTAAAAGCCTCCCTTGACCATGTATCACCACTCTGCAGTTATTCTATTTCTTACCTACCTCCTTTTAACTCCTCAACTTACTATACTCTGGCTTTTGCCCTTAAAAATCTAATATAAGCCGGGCGGTGGTGGCGCACGCCTTTAATCCCAGCACTCGGGAGGCAGAGCCAGGCGGATCTCTGTGAGTTCGAGGCCAGCCTGGGCTACAGCGCGAGATCCAGGAAAGGCGCAAAGCTACACAGAGAAACCCTGTCTCGAAAAACCAAAAAAAAAAAAATAAATAAATAAAAAAAAATAAAAAAATCTAATATAATGCTTCCTAAAATCACCAACAGCCTCCCTCTACGCTATAAAATGATCATTTTTCTATTATCACCTTACTTTATTTCTCAAGAATATTCAACATGCTAACTGATTCTCATTCTTGAAACTTTCCTATGTATTTGGCTTCTCTGGCTTTCTTCTTGATGACTTCCCCCCCCAAACACAACACTAATCCCCTAACGGATTGATTCTATATCCTTTTATCAAAGATGAGCTCATGTGGATTTGACATTTAAAATATAATTCATAAAAAATACATTGTATATAAAATAGGGTCAATGATAAACCCAAGACATAACCAACAATTAAGGGAAAGATAAAAGAGTAGACAAGCACAAAGAAAACTCAAGAGGACCAACTGGGAAAATGTGGCCCAGAGGCCAAAAGGGAAAGAAAAATTTAAAAGGAACAAGTTTTAGTGGCTGGATGTGTTGGCTCATACACAGAATGAGGACTAGAAAATAGTGACTTCAATTTTAAAAGAAAAGAAGCTATTGCCTGGGGTCAAAGAGACATATAGTCGAGCAAATGAAAACACAGAGATACAGAAATAAGAATTCATATGGTATCCAGACAGAAAGATGAGACAGTGATAACCTTGGTCATTCTGCAACTTCAAGAAGAAAACCAAGGTTTGCAACAACATAAAAAAGGATTGTTTTCATCAGCTGTAAACTCATTATGAACCAAGGGCACGAGGTAACTGTTTAAAATGCTTAAATAATTGTACGTTGTGTTAAGAAATGGGGTAATTTGCTCTCTTTAAGTCCTATTACTATTCCATGCCATGCTGGTTAGACTATACAGAGAACACTGAATTTAGTTCTAGGTATCTCAAGACTGAACAGAAGGGAGAGACTACATGTGAGAAATCTGGAGATTATGTCATATAAAGAATGGCTTGAGGAACTAAAGATAGTTAAGAAAAAGAGAAGAAAAGGGAATGTAAAACGTTTTTAAAGTTTATATAAAGTGTGTATGTATTGGAATATAGAGCACACCATTGAGAGTAAGATTGGGAACAGTGGATATAAGTTACAGAGAAGTAGTGCAATAAATAGTATAAAGAATAATTTTTCCCTCAATAAAAGTAGTTCTGAATTAAAATTTAAACTGTTAAACATTGCATATATAGCAACAAAAACCTGATTTTGTTTCCAGGTGTCACTAATAGGAATGTTTTTATGCTGTCATGTATTACTAAAAAACTCCACCTACAGTCAAATCTTGCCTGCTCACACTGTAACTTTTTTGCAGTTGAATGTGTTACCATATTGATGAGTGTTGAAATAACAGAAACAACTGTAGCAGAAAGAACACTCACTGTATTTGAAATAAGGAAACCTAGCTCTACTAATTATTAGCACTATGTGACTGTCTAATAAACTACAAAATGCTGTAAAAAAAACATTCAGAAAGAAAAAGCATGTAATAAACCAGATAGAGAAGCAAAATAACATAATGGAAATACCAGATTTTTCTCAATGCTGTTTCTCCCAATTCTCTTAAACATTTCTCACTTAGGCCAACAGCCATTATCCCAATTCTACATAGATCTTGCTAAGAATTCTAAATTAGTTTTCTGTGGCAGCCATAAAGATTACCAAAAACCAGGTGGATTACCACTGACAAAAATTTATCACCTCAAAGCTCAAAAGGCCAGAGGGGCAAAAATCAAGGTGTTGGTAGGGCCATGTTCCCTATGAAATCTGTAGGGAAGAATCTTTAGTCTCTTCTAGTTTCTGATAATTTGCTAGCAATTCTTCTTTGGCTTGCAGTTGCAGCACTTTAATCTTTGCCACTCTAGCCACATAGTGTTCTCCTGTCTTCATATAACATTGTTTCTGTGTTTCTTCTATCCTTATGAGACCAATCACATTAGTCAAGTGTCCACTGTACTCCACTATGGCCACATCTTTATTTACAAAACCCTATATGCAATAAGGTACCATGCACAGGTATCAAAAGTCAGGACTTCAACATAGCTTTATGGAGGACACAATTAACAGTACTCATTATTCTCAAATCAATCCTATTCTCCCTTTTCCATATAATTTACATCCCTCTAACTTGCCTCTCCTACTTCTAAAACTACCTACCTCATCTCTTTCCTCAGTGATTTTAGAGACTTGTTCTTATAGCTATGAGGCAATCTATTATAGTTTGGACTTAGAAAAGCCTGTTGTAGCTGGATGTTGTTGTGTACACCTGTTATCCTAGCACTTAGGAAGTAGAGATAGGACTATCAATAGTTCAGGGTAAGTCTCAGCAATATAGTGAGTTCAAGACCACCCTGGATGTGACAGTCAAAGCAGTAGACAATGGAGTTATGAAACCGATTAAGAAAGGACTCCTATACTAAAGGAAATCATAATACAAAGGGAGACAGACATAAATAATACAACAATGTATAGAGAATAAATAATCTAAAAATAACCACAATTGTTTAAACTGTTCAAAATAAGATTATGTAATTATGATTCTAATCTTGAATGAGGACAAAGAATGACTAGGTACCACCAATCTATGTATCAGCATTTTCCTCAGTATACTAACATTTCTCCTTAAAAGAGAAGTCAAAGTGTTTGTTTTACCCTTTCTTTCCAATTCTTAGCACAATACCTAGCACAGAATGTTTACTGAACAGTTAAGTGAACACTGGGTGCACTTAAAATATTATAACTAGTAGATAACTATATTCTATAGAAACCGGCAAGAAGAATATTTTTTAAATACCAAACTCTTTCCCTAATTCAGGTGCGAGAGTTGACTGATAGCAATCCAATCACCAACTCTTTAGTCTGAGACATAGCAAGAAATAAGTCAATGGCAGATAAACCACAAACTGGTTTATTACAATTTGTTAGATAACCTTGGAACAGATAGCAAAGGAAGAACACTGTAAAGACAATTAAAAGAAGGGGTGTTTATGAAAAGTCAGGTTACAGATCAAGATTACTCTTGTTGCTATCACAATTATTATTTCTCAGAAATGATCTGAAGCCCAACTCTCACTTTCTCAGGAAAGGATTTTATTTTGTCAATCGAACTACCTTTAAAGTTTTCCATTAACCAACATACACCACCAAATTGATTTATTATTCCTACTTATCCTTGTTCCCCAAACATGTAAGTTCCTATATTAGTCATCTCCTATGTCTTGTTTTCTACCAATGTATCCCATGCACTTAAAAGAGTATCTAGTATGTATTTATTCTTTAATAAATATATGTTAAGTACATTGCTTCCAGCCATAGCTATTCAAAGGGAAATAATTTTCCAAAGAGAATTGGTGATGCAAGTCATAGAGTTAGATGAATAAAATCCCAAGGAAAAAAAATCGATAATTCACTGGTTATGAGAGTCAGAGCCATATTGACCAAAGAGTCAAATACATAATCAATTTGATAAATATTGGCCATCAATAAAAATAACAGTAACACACTCAAACAATAGGTTTGAGTGGAGATCTGACTCCTGGAACTGAGAAAGAGGAATGTCAATACTGCTAAGGGTGTAAGGCACGCGCGGCGGGGGGGCGGGGGGGGCGGGGAAGGCTAGGAACTCACAACGAAGCACGGACAGAAGGAAAACATGTGTCGGTGATCATGGGTGAAAGAGTTTTTTTGGCTATCGAAAAGTGTGCAGAACGCGAATGAAAGAAACTTAATATTTTTCACCCTGTAATTACAACTTAAATGACGCGTTCTGACACTAACCCGAGACCTCTTCAGCAACGTAAAACATATTTTGCCCAAACTGGACCTGCTCAACAATTAGAACTGTAAACAACAGAAAAATCCAAGTCACACTTGCCCTGCCTTTTGCTCCACCCTAGCACCTTCTAGTTCACACCTTCACTCTCTCTCCGGAATGTCTCCTCACCTCCCGCAAAAACGCCCCACTCCTTTTACCTGTCCGGGTACCCTCTAGTGGGCACTCAGGCTCTTGGCCAAAGGGCGCAGGTCCTCCCAGTGTCGCCTAATGCCGGAAATCAGAGAAGGATGAAACCTGACGCCGCAGGCTTCCGTGTAAAGCGCCCCGCCTACGCGTGGCCTCCTGGGAACTTGAGCTCTCCTCCAATGGGAGCAGGTTAGAGGGCGGGATCTGAGACGTTCCCTACCCTCCGCACTTCCCAGGACCCATACTGCACTCTGGGAGTGGTAGTTCCGACTATAATGTCGCCACTTCTGCTTTATGTCGGATCAGCAGCTCGTAAACAACATCGAACGCTGTACTATATAATCCCAGGAAACGAGAGGAAGCAAGACAACACAAGTAGTCTGCCAGTATAATCAGCAAGACAAATGAGGAATTGAACTTCCCCCGCCATCTCCCCACTGAGTCTCAGAAGATAATGTCGCCTGTTCATAGCCAAAACAGAATTTCTCTGGCAGGAACTCTTTTTACCTTCGCTATGAAAAAATTTAACTTTCTTGTGTTTCTCACCAATCATTTCCCCCATGCTTTAGCAGCAAAAATAACAGCAGCAGCAACAACAACAGTAATCATCAGCACCTACTTTCCTGTGATTTGTGTCTGCTATGCTGTATCTTTTTCCTCCCTTGAAGAACTGTTTCTCATCACCACCATTACCGCCGCCGCTGCCCCCACAAGCTCCCTGCTTCCTTGCTCTTTAGTATCATCATTTAGAGACCCTGGAGTTTTCTCTTATGCAAAACATTCCAAAGTCACCTTTTTCAACCTCCCACTTCCAGTCTCCTCACCACACACAGACTTAAGTGAATGATCATTCTCCAACCTCTCCATTTCATACAAAGTTCTCAATAATGTTGCTAACATAAGTACTTTTTAGTCATTGTTATAATTCAGCTCTGCAAAATATATACTCTGAATATTCTCTCCTTTAAAATCTAGTCTTCCAAAGATACTACATTCACCAGGTTTGCTTCCCACTTCTATGCTAGCTCACTTGCTTTTGGAGTGTACATGTTGTATAGGCCTCTGCCCTGCACTTTGTTTTCTTATCCTTCACACACTTCTTGGTGATATCAGCTATCCCCATTATGTTTCTGGCATTCATATCTTGATGATTCTCATGTATACAGGAAGCCCACACAATACTCCTGAGACCCAGTGTCAACTGGACATCTTGGGTATGTAAAACTTAATAATAGTTCCCAATCTGTCTAATAGATTTCTACCTTTACCTGTTCCCTACCCTGTTTGTTTCTCTCCTCTAAATTCCATCTCAGTGAATAGACAACTAATCAGCTGTCCACTCCAGAATGCTAGGTGTAATTTTGAATGCATGTATTTCCTCAAAGCTCATAGATACACAATAAGTAATCCATATTCTAACTACTTAATATTTCATTTCACCCAGTTTCAGTTTTCTCATTCTTTTTCAAGGATTGTCAGTGATTAATGAATAATAATGCCAGGCAGGGGATAACATTACCTATAGTGTCTCATTGGAAATACAAGACCCTCCATTGTCTGTCTTTTATTTATTTTTCACTTTTTCTTTTCTTTTTTTGTACTATGGAGGTGCCCAGCATTCACAAGACCTACATAAGTTCAGATCAGACAAAATCCCAGCACTGATAAGGGAGAGTGGATACAAAGTCCCACCTCTAACCAAGAAGCTATTTGCAATTGATCCATGCTGGGAAAGGGAAAATCAGTTTTCTCCAATGAAGTGTCACGGAGCATATCAGCCACACTTCAGGCCAAAGGTAAAGGGCTTGGAAGCACCATATAGAGTTACTGGTATGAATCTACATTGAAGAGACTAAAGAAGTTGGAGTCTAATTTCCACAATCACTACTCAATAAAAATGAAGCAAAATGAGACAACACACAAGAAATATTCTTGTGTTTTCTATATTTGTTTTGGAAAGGGAAGAATAAAGATAGAGTGAGGAAAGCGTATTTGGATAAAAATATAGCAACAAAAGTTCAGCATTTTTATTTAAAACTTTTTAAAATTACATCCACTCTTTCATATGAAAGGGTGAAGCGGTGCATTTTTGGATTCAGAAGAGGGAGGATTCTTTCTGTTCTCTCTCTCTCTCTCTCTCTCTCTCTCTCTCTCTCTCTCTCTCTCTGTGTGTGTGTGTGTGTGTGTTAGTGTTATATTAGTTTGATATGAATTTTTGTTGTTCTTTTTACTTTGCTGAATAAATGGAATAAATTTTTGTAATTCTGTTTGTAGTAGCCTTGTCCATAAGTATTAGTAATTTGAGTTCCATTAACTTAAAGATGAGTTAGGTCCTTATTTGTGTAAATATATTAGGTACTTTGATGTGTTATATTTCTGGAAAAATTACATGTAAAAGTTGAAGATATGGTTATTATAAAAATGTAGTATAGAAAAGACTATAATGGACAAACTGATATTTCCCTGAAAGCTTGTGATGTTTATAAAATGAACATACATGGGCCAATTGGATTTTCTGTGTACATACTGATTTTCTTGAAAGAAGACAGCCAGTTTAGAAGTTGCATAATAAGAAACAGTTCTTTGAAAACAATGCTTTTAAAAACAATGTTTCACCTATCAGTAACTTTGAATAAATGTGTTGGCAAGTACATTTGTTGAATAGATATCTTCTTCGTTGTCCAAGGCTTGTGTAAGCATTAGTGAAATGTTATATGTAAAGATTTAGGAATGTCCAGAGTAAAAATTAGATCAATAGGTCATTTGTACCATAATCAGTAACTAAACATCGAACTTTCAGGCAATATAGTCTTTTCTATACTACATTTTTATAATAACCATATTTTCAACTTTTACATGTAATTTTTCCAGAAATATAACACATCAAAGTACCTAACATATTTACACAAATAAGGTCTTACCATGACAAACAGGAAAGCATTATGAATTGACATTGTGAAAATTAGAGGAAAGGGTTTTGTAGGGACAGGGCAAAGACTTTAGAATCTTCAGCAAACCAACTGAACTTAGGCCATATTCAAGAAAAAAGATAAGAGGCACTTGGGATTAAGACAGTCTGTTCTGTTTCCAATCAATATGTGTTACATGACTCACAATGCTGCCATATGATGTTCAGATCTTTCTATTTTACTATTGCATTTGTATGCCTTCTAATCATTGTATGAGACGATGAATGTAGCTAATGTCCAAGCAGTGTCTATCCTATATTTTGCTTGTAAGAAATACTTGAATAAATGAGTGTGATAGTAACTATTCTCAGGTTCATGATCTTTCCTGTTCTTCACTCTTATTGAATGTATTGTCTAATAGAGAAGGAACAATATTAAGGAAATAAGGATAATCTTGCAAGTTCATACTGTCTTTTTAGTACTAGTGTCTGCTACTAATAGTTACTTATCTTCCTGAAATTCAGTTGAGAAACAATGGTTTGACCCTTGTAGATTAAAACTAGCAAGGATGGTATGGAACAAGACATCCACTTTTTAAAATGCACAGTTCTAGCACTTAACTGTTTCTGAGAGAAATATTAAAAGATATTATTCTAATGAGTGCTCACCAGCCATCCATGTCATACAAGAACAGGGCACAACAACTGATAATTTTCCAAAAACACCAACAGCTCTACCTTTAAAATGGTCAACAGACAAGCCTTATGAGTTCAGCAATGGCCTTTAACAACAGAGAAACTCCAGGCTTTACAAGAGCTGGTGGAAGAACAGTTAAATGCTCATCATATTGAAGAATCAACCAGCCCTTGGAATTCTCCTGTATTTGTTATTAAAAAGAAATCTGGTAAATGGAGAATGGTAACAGACCTTAGAGCAATTAACAAAGTAATTCAGCCAATGGGCTCTTTACAATCTGGAATTCCTTTGCCTACTCTGTTACCAAAAGGCTGGCCTCTCATAGTTATTGATTTAAAAGACTGTTTCTTTTCAATACCCTTACAAGAAAAAGACAGAGAAAGATTTGCTTTCACAGTGCCTACTTATAATAATTCTCAACCGGTTAAAAGATTTCAATGGAGGGTTCTCCCACAGGGAATGTTGAATAGCCCAACTTTGTGCCAATATTTTGTAAAACAGCCATTAGAAGTGGTATGTAAAAAATTTCCTAAATCTATAATTTATCATTATATGGATGATATTTTATTAGCTGACTCAAATGCAGATACTTTAGAAAGAATGTTTGAAGAAGTAAAGAAAATTTTGCCTTGCTGGGGATTACAAATTGCCCCTGAAAAGATACAAAGAAGAGATTCTATTAATTATTTAGGATATAAAATAGAACTTCAAAAAATTAGACCTCAAAAGGTGCAAATTAGGAGAGATCGACTACAGACTCTTAATGACTTTCAAAGATTATTTGGAGACATTTCTCATCTAAGAACTATTGTTGGGGTAAAAAATGATAAACTGAATAATTTGTTTAAAACCTTAGAAGGTGATAAGGACTTGAATAGTCCAAGAGAATTATCACCTGAAGCTGAGAAAGAATTGGCCTTGGTAGAAAAGAAAGTACATGAAGGGCACGTAGATCGTATTGATCCAAAGCTGGATTGCATTTTGGTTATTTTACCTTCTAGGCATTCCCCAACAGGAATATTAATGCAAAGGGAAGATATTATATTGGAATGGATATTTTTACCAAATAAACCAAATAAAAAATTAAAAACTTATGTGGAAAAAATCTCTGACTTGATTTGGAAAGGAAAATTAAGACTTCGTCAATTAGCAGGAATAGACCCAGCAGAAATTGTCGTACCTTTAACTAAGGAGGACATTGAAAAATTATGGATAGAAAATGAAGCTTGGCAAAAAGCTTGTAGTAATTTTTGGGGAGAAATTAACAGCAAATATCCCAAAAGCAATAGAATTGATCTTATAAAGAGAGCTGATTGGATCTTGCCTCGAATTGTGAGGAAAAAACCCATATCTGGAGTTCGTACATTTTATACAGATGCCAACAAACAAGGAAAGGCAGGTTACAAATCAGAAAATTTAAGTAAAGTGGTTCAAAGTCCTTATAATTCAGTTCAAAAATCAGAATTGTCTGCTATTCTGCTGGTATTAATGGATTTTTCAGAACCTCTCAATATAGTAACTGACTCTCAGTATGCTGAAAG